TTAAAGTTCTAAAGCTCTCAAGAAAATCCCGAAGGATCAAGAAAGCACTCTTCGTTCTTCGTCAAATCCTCCTTTAAGATCAAGCGCCGACGGCCCTTGAAGAACTTCCACCAACTCAAGATCAAGCCCCGACGGCCCTTGAAGAAAGTGTTCATCGTTCATCCTAAGATCAAGCCCCAACGGCCCTTTGGATCAACAACATCAACAAATCCACACATCCAACCGTTCTTCAAGATCAAGCCCAAAAGCTCTTGAAGATCCGCTCATCCATCAACCTTCAAGATCAAGTCCAAAAGCCCTTGAAGAAGTCCACACCACCATTATTCAAGATCAAGCCCAAAAGCCCTTGAAGAAAATCAACTGTTCATTCAAGATCAAGCCTCGACAGCCCTTGAAAAAAACCAACCGTTCTTCAAGATCAAGCCCAAAAGCCCTTGAAGATCCGCTCATCCATCAACCTTCAAGATCAAGCCCCGAAGGCCCTTGAAGAAACTTCCATCAACCTTCAAGATCAAAGCCATGAAGGCCCTTGAAGAAACTTACAACTGTTCATCCAAGATCAAACCTCGACGGCCCTTGGATCAACAAACCTACATCTTACGGAGATAGAATCAGAAGATCAAATTACAAAGAGATCGTAACCCCAAAATCATTAAACACAAAAATATTATTTTGTACACGTATTCTTGTTTCTTGTTTCAGGAATTTTTTCGTGTTCACAATAACCTGCAACATAACATTAATATCGGAGACATGAAATATGTTCTCCATTATTTATTTGGTTTTATTTTTATGCTCTCCATTATTCATTTGCTTTTATTCTGTTGCATCTCAATATGGGATGAAACAAAGCCCACTCAATACAAATATTGCAATTTTCAAATGCAAAGCCACAAACTTTGTCAAGAAAACAACCATCCAAAATTTCAAACGCAAATTCAAATTATACAAAACTGAAAAGCATACCATCAAATACAGCAGAGAATGGATCCTCTGGATAGGTGCCTGGGTGGATGGTCGTCGTTGTTGTTGCTCGGAGTTCACCATCACTACTCTGGGTGGATGGTGGTCTAAGCGAGGAGATGTAGTCTGAGAGAGAGAAGAGAGGGAGAGGTAGTGTGAGCGGGAGGGAGAAGGACAATTGGAGTCCTACATCATTCGGAGAAGACGCCATTAACCTTTGGGCTTCTAAGTGTGAACATGTTTGGTTTTCTTTTTTTGAAAAAAAAAAATTACACGTGTTATATTCTTATTGATCCATGTCATTTGGTCAGTAATTTGGGTACTCCCCTGTGAGTACCCAAGTATATGTTGATTTCTGGTGTCACTTTTTAATGACCATATGTCATCCGTTTAGGTACACTAGTTTCAAGTACATATATGCAATCAACTTTGTCATGTTTCCCAATTGCAATGTTTCCGAATAAGTATTTGTGCTTCGTAACATTGTTTATTTATGTAGTATTGATTGATCGATCGATCTTTAATTTTAGTATTTGTGCTTCGTAACCTTGTTTACAAAATAAGAAGGCAACCACTCCCACTCCCGAGTACAGTTTCCTTCTGGAACCGGAAAAACGAAGAGTTTGACTTCTATCTGTGTAAGTTGCAAGTTGGCTTTTTAGCAACTAGCTAGTTTATGAGACCATTTCAAGTTCACCAAATCCATCAGCATTACTATATGGACTGTGCACCTGATAAAAAGAGAGACATCACATTTAGATGAGGACCTAGTGAGAAATTTTTAACTGGTTGTCTGCTGAGTCTTTGTTTGAAGACTACAATTTCATTGCTAAGTGTAGAAGATATAGATCAGGCCAGTCCTCTTTGACTTATTCATCTGTCAGAACTTAACGATTTTATGATTCGAATCATATCAAAATTCTCACCGAGGTAGGTAATTTCTTACAGTTCGAGTCAAAATATATATTAAGATCAAGTTGATCAACTAACTTTTTCGGTATGGAGATTAGAATATTTTACCTTTGGTAATCGCCGATTTCAATATCTTGAGCCTTAGCTAGGTCAGGCTGTCCAATACCATCACCATCATCATTTTCATTGTTGAAAATAGGTGCAAGTGAGCGAAGACACGGCCCTTTTTTGGAATAAGATTCTATATGAAAAACACATCAACGAAATTGTCCAAGAAGTTATGATTCATGTATATAATTCTTAGCCCCTTCAAAAATTGGCAATATCATAATTCTTCTGAAGCTCCAGCCAGGCACCGAAATATGCATATATATATATATATATATATGTATGTATGTATGTATGATATCATATATACATCTGTTTGTGTTTATGTGTGTGTGTGTGTGTGTGTGTATCATACACATAGTAACACGAACTCAACGGCAGCAACAAAACCATTTAGTCTATCAGTTATGTAGCGCAAGGAACATATGACATTGGTGGTGATTAGAGTGCGGATAGGAACAGTTCGAATCTCTGCAGTTTCATAAGCGCAAACGGATACTAAATCTTTTCCTTTTTCGTGTTTGGTTGTGGACAGCATACCATCATGAATTTCTTGCAAACAAAGCCAATACATAAGCTCCACTTTGTCATGCAGCCCCCAACAATAATGAAAACACATCATTCAGTAGTAATCCGGATTAAAGTCGTATTCGCGTCGACACTCATTACTAATACAACTCATAGAATAAAAATCTACTGAATCAATATATATAAATATATATGTGCTAGCATAGCAAGCACAAGCATAACTTTCCCTGTATTTTTCCCCTTCTTAAACTCACATACGGACAGATAGAAACCTCTACCAGCCGTGGTAGAGCAGAAAATCTCATCATCGAGAGACAAGCACATATAGGGATATTCTAATTCAAAGAGGATTTATACAGTGTAATATATCACGAAATGAAAACTGAAAACTAAAGCACCTAGCTACTTTTCAAAGGCTCTTCGTTTTCTTCCTCCTTCATGGAATGTGCATCAACTCGCTCTATCAAGTAAAACTAGCCTCTCCATGTAATATTCAATACATGAATACCCTGGATCTGTATGAATTCCTAGAAATTCATTTCTGTTGCTCTTAGGATCATGAGAGACCAACTTTCCAGTCTTCCCTCCATGGTCATACATTTCTAACAGAAACTCGCCATTCTTCCTGCACCCCATAATCTGTATAACTAGGAAATTCGGGGTGATATTTCTATCAATAGAGAATTTCTTTGTCCATGAATCCACCACCCCATACTCTCTCATAATCCAAATACTAAGTATATTTTCCTCATAGTGCTTCACAGCAATAGACTTTCAGCAGCTGAAATATTGTGAAAGATCGTTATTCGATTTCCTCGGGATATTTGTGCTTCAGAGCAACTCCAGCGTGAGTAAGGACATTACCGCAACTTCCTATTCAATCCCCTCTAATGAACAGTAATCATCTTTAATGGACAGTAATTACCTTTTGCATTTTTACTCCTAAACTGAATAGCCATGACAATAGACAATAAAATATTTGTATTTTTTATTTCACAAAAAATAAAAAATAATTTTATTTTTAATTTCGGATAAGATTTTTAATCGGTCTCGTTGTACCATGTGTCATTAAATAAGAAATTACAATACAAAGTATTTGAGAAAATATAAAATTGTGGTGTAAGTTGGAAGATAAGGATAGGGAATTGTTATTAGCATTCCAAAAATTTCATTCTACACTCCAAACTTTCTATATTAGGAAAGAAAAATAGACTTGTGAGGAGTGTAGAATGAGATTTTTAGAGTATCAATAACACTTCCCTAAGGATAACATATTTATAGAAAAATTAAATCAAATTTAAAAAAAAAAAATTAATTTTTTCGGATTTTTATTAATTTTTTTCATTTTTTATTAATTTTTTTCATTTTTAATTAGTATTTATATATTTTTTATTAATTTTAAAACGTAACTAACGTCATCCTGATATCTGCCAAACATCGCACAGCCTCGGCCTCTCGGGCACTAATTTGAGCCGGAGCTCTACTCTGTTCACATGCCCGCATGGGCTGGAGTTTGCAGCTCTGACTATTGGGTAGTTGCTCTCGTACCCTACAATGCCTAAACTCCCAGACCTCAAATAATTGTTCAGCGGCTCCTCGGTCAAAGGTGTTTGGTCAGGGCATCATTTTCTTGCCAGCTAATAGAAAGCCTATTCAAACTTGGCTGCTGATATTGATGTTTATGGTCAGTCTACTCTCTCAGTCAAGTTAATTGGAAATTTCCTTGCAATAACCAACACAAGGCACAAAGAAAACAAGTGAAGCATTTTACTCTTTTTAATGATTTTTTTTTTTCAATTCTAAAATTATTCTTAATTTTTAATTTGCAAAGTCTAAAATACCATTACACTTTATAAAATCATCAGAATTGTCATCATCAATTTTTTCTAAGGTTGTATGCTATTTCTCCATCTCTTTCTCTCCATCTTCTCAAATCTCTCTGCATCTTCATAACCTGAAATTTTTGTGGAGGTATGTATGCTATTTCTTATCCTAAATTTGTATATAGTGTGAGAATTTTGCTGGTTATATATTATTTTTGTCGAAATTGTTGTGAATGGACTCGAAAGCAATAAAATATGGCCTCATAATTGAAACAAAAAGGAGAAAACATAAACCAAACATTCGGCCTCATGTTGATAGAGAATAAGTGTCCCCTGCATGTATGGATCTTTAAAACACCACCCTGTTTAAAAGAAAAGAAACCCATCTTCTTATTATCTGTAGCATTATATGGATCTTTAAAATAGTAACGCAATACACAAAGTCATTCAAACAAGAGGGTTTCATATCCTTTGAGTCGAACATGCATATAGATTATTATTAGCCCACAGGTCATAACTAATTATTAATTGAACATGCATATAGATTATTACAGCTTCCATGATAATATGAAGATCCCCATCAGGAATCTTGCCCTTGTTAATATCCATGAGCTTAAATCCTTCATGTATGCCAACAACTTCCTCCATCGACAAATGCTCATTATTACCTGTTAATTTAAAATCCCAAAAGAACCAAAAAAAAAAAAAAAAAAAAAAAATTAGAAGCCGAGGGCATATACAAATCGAACGTACAATTAAAACAACCTAAAAATCAGTTGCTTGTTAAGGTTACAAATACTGCAAGCAGTGGTGTACTGCATTATATAGCAAGTATTAGATTACAAATCATGCATCATTATTTTTAACTTACTTTTGTGTTGTTTGTTAGGATTACGTGCTATGGTTTTTTTTTTCTTTCTCTTTATAAATATGTCAAAAAATATAGTTAAGGATGTACAAGATCCAGGTGCGGAAGGTAATGAAAAAAAAAAAAAAGCAAGGCAATGTGGGATGATGCAGGTGTTGAGACATTTATAAGCATTTGTGTAGCTAACACATTAGCCGGAAATCAAACAGGTGGTCATCTTAATAGGATTGGATGGAAAAATGTTATTAAGAAATTTAATGACCTTACTCAAAGGTCATATGTTCATAAACAACTCAAGAACAAATGGACAACACTTCAGAAAGAATGGCAATTGTGGACATCTTTAGTTGATAAAGAGACTGGCTTAGGATGGATCCTATGAAGCAAACTATCTTTGCAAGTGATGAGTGGCGGGAGAAAAAAGTGAAGGTGAGAAATTATTATCTCAAATCAATGGAGAATCCAACTGCATATTTATGTTCTTTTATCACAATTTGTTAATTGTAGTTGGTAATATTTCAGGAGAATCCTGAAGTTGCAAAATATTGAAATAGTGGACTGAAAATGTTGACCAATTGGACATTTTGTTTGAACGAGAAGCTGTTACAGGTGTAGGTGCGTGGGCAACCTCACAAGAGTTGATGAGTAATAATGTCTAGGAAGATCCAATAGGTGAACAAAAAAACAGTCAAGATGATTTGGAGAATGAAATAGATAATAATGATGGACTTGATGACATAGCTGATGCTGAGACACCTTCCCTTGCTAAACCTTCAACATAAGGAAAGGGAACAAAAAGAACAAGATATTCTAAAAGAGTTGGAATTGAGGCCAAGATGACAGAACAATTAGATGGTATTTTAGAAGCTATAAACAACTGTTCTAAAAGCAAAGATAAGCCTGGTTGTAGCATTGAGGAAGTGATGGAAGTTTTGGAAGGAATGCCTGAAGTTGTGAATGATGATGAGCTCTTTATGAAAGCTGCTGATATCCTCACTGAAACAAAAAAATAGAGAAATGTTTGTTGCATTGAAGCAAGATTAATCCTACGATCAATCAATCATGCTTACAGTTTTATGACAGCTTAGGACACTATTATTCAAACGAGGAAAATGCCTTGAGTCGCTCGACTTTATTGCATACCAGACTCGAATCAATCTTCCATTTGGTGCGACATGCGACTTGTCATCCATTTAACCATCTTACATCCATAATGTACCACAAGTAACCAACCAAATAACAAAGTAATCATGTACGCGTCTGTACTCACCCTCATGTTGTGTTTAGGTCAAGTCCGTATATTATCCATGCGTCCCCAAACTCAGAGGAGTTCATAGAGCATAGCAATGAGAATTATCGCACCACTCAACAAGATTACTGCGAGATAAAAAGTCATCGAAGCCTTGTCTGTCTCATGATCTGCAAGTTCACGGTACAAAAATGAGGAGATCGGTTGATACCTGATATATTCAATAGGTAGAGGAAGAATAACAAGATGGGGGATCAAGATATAAAATATTGCATTCTGTCATTAGCTCAGGAATTATGTTGTCATTTACTAGCATCCTTGAAAGATGGTAATGAGACTCACCCATTTGTTGTCTTTGCTCCAATATTTTATCAATTACCGGGAATGTGGGAACTATATCCACGGGGACCTATGCAAATAAGAAAACGTTAGTAATTGCATGACGTTGCCATATGATTCACAGAAACTTAAAGCATCTTTTTGGATTACAGATTTCAGTTTTGGATTTTCCTTTATATGGGATTTCCAAACATTTAAAAAGAACAGAAGGGAGCCGAAAACAAACTACATAATTCAAATCACCGAATATTTCTCAATGCGAAAAATGCAGCTTGATAAATACGATCACAAACTGTCAACTTGATCAAATGAAAACTGGGAAAATGTCTTCTAGAAATTTCTGTCTAATAATGCCAGTGATTTGCAAATATCAGCTTAATAATATGCATATAATTGCCATAATTCTTCATATTTGGATCAAGCTGATCAAAGTAGCCGTTCGTACCTGAATTTTCTCTAATTTCTGCAGAGCAACTTTTATTGGGTTCGTCATTATGCAGTATTTCTGAAGCAGTGCCTTTGCAGCCTCCTTGTCACCTTTTGCTTGTATGGTGAGTATTGCCCTACTCAGGTTCTCAACTGCACCTTCAACCTTTTACCAAAACAAAAGAGTAGTTATATATATGGCCTTGATGTGTCATCTCAGGGGGCATAAGGAGGAAATTTGGAACTTGAGAAGTAATACCTTGGTAAAGTCAACAGAAAATGTTTCATCAGGATTCAAAATAAAGGCTCCTTCCTCATACAACCAGTTAAATTGCAACGCTTGTCCTTTTCTGCAAATATACAATATAAGATACTTTGGTGGCCAAACATGCTAGATGCTTACTATAGTATAATTTGCTTGCTGACAAGTGACACAAGTGGACTAGAGGAGGGTGAGTTACTAGCCTACCCATGAGCTTCTGCAAGACCAAACCGTACGGAGCGGAAGCATCCAGCAAGAAAAGAAACATACATAGACTTCAATAAACTCTTTGAGAGCATGTCCTGGAACCAGCAAGACAGAGAAATTTGGAACTTCAACTAGCATAAGCACTAGAACACAGCTTTTATGCCACCACACGATGAAATTATGAATACCAGTGACAATAACACAACTTCTTATGAGAAAGAACATTTTCATTAATAATTATTAAAGGGAAAGGTAAAATGACTCAATCAACAAGAGGTCCGGCATCATCTTGATGATAAAAGAATTTTTTTTTGTCAAACGATAGATTTATTAGATTAGAGAGCCGATGCAAGGGCAACACTCCTCTCCACCAGTGTGGTAAAGGGCCACTTGTCTTGATGATAACATAATTAAAACCAATGAAAGATGCAAATGTGTCAACAAAAAAAAAAAAAAAAAAATTGTAAACCAAACTATCCCACTAATGAGATAAAATGAAGCGAAGCAATCTCAACCAAATTAATCGCCACTCACCTTGTGGATTAGGAACTTCAATGCCCAAAGGCCAACTATATCAGCTTTTGCTTCTTCCAGAGCTGAGTGGAGTTCTTGCAGTTCCTTTATCAAGAGATGAAAGGGACACAGGGCCAGATTTGGCATTAAGAAAACAGTGCACACTTGATATACTTAACCTTCCGAAATTTCCTTCTTTTTTTATTGATTTTTCTTAAAACTGTTTAATATGACATTAGAAACACAATAAGAAGCACAAGAACTTTGAATATAATCGTAAAAAATTGGTAAAAATTATGAGAATATCTTTTTTTTTTACCATAAATAATACAACTGATCTAAAAAATGCTTCATAACTAATGAACTCCTCCATCAGTTAAAGAAATTCATTAACGTCTAAAACCCCAAATCAAAAATAAATAAATAAATATGCAACTGGGTTCCTGGGGTCATATAAAAAAATTGACCAATAGTCATCTATAGAGACTTTCTATACTGACAATGTCAAGAATCACTGATTGGGATCCATTTTCACAAAAACTCGAAACAAAACTTCTAATTTTGATGCAAGATGTTCCATTTGAAGGAGGCTGGAAATATCATTGCCCACTTTAACAACTAGGCATCATGCTCGTACATACATGATGACATAAAGTGCCTTAACACCTCAACAACATAGTCATCACATGCCTCGACAATATGAAGACACTGTTTTTACGAAAAGTCAAATAAGGTGGGCATCACCTGCGCCACCGCCACCATGATTGACTGTAAAAAGCAAACTAAACTTAAGCAACCGAATAGGGTTTTGCAAGGAAACACAAGATTTCAAGGAATTTGCAAGGAAACTGGACTTTAATAAAGTGTTCTTGCTGCAACACTTTAATTCTCAAATATGTTTCAATGTCTCTCTGTAGTAAGATAGGTAGAGCTGGGAAATCAACTTCAAGTTTTAATGTGCATTGACCAGCAACAATTACTATAAAATTGACAATAAAAGTTTATTAAACTATCTTTTCTGCTAGATATACTGAACCTTATTTTGAAGAATTGTTTGGTTTACTATTAGCAGCGATGCAATTCACGAAGGTTGTCAAACCAAACTATAGTGAACAAGTAAATTAGATAATTTATAGTGATGTCCCTCACCAATCTCACTGTTGACTTTCTACCATCTGGAAGTGTTATGCTATGAGGTCCAATCCCATGGCAGCACTCATGGCAAATTGTGTGAGTGAAGAAAGATTCAAAATCTACAAGTTCCCGTTGTTCCTTTGTAATACAAACATCGGCTATAGGCAGAAGAATGTGCTTGAACCTGACATTACCATTCCAACACAACAGATCAAAATTTGGAAAAGCAATAATGGATACTCATCTGAGGGAAGGAAAATTTTACTTGGCCTCTGAGATATTCTTAAGCATGACCAATGATGTTCCTCGATCTTTTACAATACGCTCGTCATTTGGTAGATTAAAAGCAACAGTTTGAGGACCCTTGACATCCTGGGGTAAATTTTGAAGTTGTCAATGTCACTTCACCAACCAGATCAATTTGCATATATATAATATATTATTAAACACAGGTCAAGAAGACTCTGACCTCCATGGACTGACCTTACAACTAAGAAGAAAACTATTTAATTAAAACCCGAGCCACTACTAACTTTACTTGTGATTGGTAGATTTATGTGAAACTCAAACCTAAATATGACACGTATGTATTTTCATTTCCTACCCTCCAAACACTTTTTTATTGACTATTTGGCTCAACAGTATAGGGTTAGAAGCAGGGAAAACCATAATCCCAGTCATTGTGCCTGTGTGATGAAAAACTTGCATGTTGCCATAGATTAGAACATCTTGAAAGATTTACCAGAGTTCCAAAACTTACTCCGGCATTGTAAATAAGATCGATGACTCGAATAGAAGCACATATCAGATCTTTGGACTTGTAGACACTGTCCAGTGGCAGATTTTGTTCCAAAACCTTATAAAAATAATAATAATGGATGGTTAAAAGGAATAACAAAGTTGTCAGGATCTTTATTATTTTGGTAAGATATTGCATCTCCGGTAGAAAATGTTTGTACAACAGTACCTGCAAATTATCACCAAAAAGCTTTACTTGAGCAGTTGCTTTGTCATCCCGAACTCCAATAAATGCCTCAAAAGTAGCCTGAAATAAAAGGCAGTTCAATAACATCTAAAGGCCGAAAATTACTACCATGCTACATCACTTAAATTCCCAAATATGTCCTTTCAGAAAATAAATGCCCAAATGCAAGAAAATGAATAGTATAAAAAACAAAGTGATAAATGCCGAAGCTCAAAACACAAGGGTGCTCCACATAAAAAATACCTTGTATCCAAAAAGAGCATCTTCATATGTTTCATACGGACCAATAGTAACATCCAGCTTAGAGTCCTACAACAGAACAGTAGCCAAAAACAAAGGCTGGTTCAACACTGTGAGAAACACTGTGCTTATTGTGGTGGGCAAAAGCTAAAGTTTTGTAAAGTTGTAGTCTGTTGGCAATTTTTTGGGTCATTTAAGCAGGCAAGAATGATCAAATATTTGAAGGCAAGTGCGGGGTGAAAATGTATTTCTAGTGGGTAGAGCAGATATGCTGCTAGTACCTCCACTGGGCCGCTGGTTTCGAATTTATTTTATTGCTGTTTAGGTTATACATTAAGAAAGAAAATTAGATAATAGGGGATTCCTTATTACAAGATATAACCCCATTGTTCAGCACAGGAATAGGCACAGATTAGGCTGGGCAATGCAACTTTAGAAAACTAGATATTCTTGTTAAATTAAATAGAAAATAATTAACAATAAGCAATTATATGACCGTCTTCATGTACGCTGTAAAACCAATAATAAGACCATATAAACTGCGCGCTAGCAACTTCGACATATTAATAAAGTAGCTCATGGAAAAATTGTTTATAGGAAGGAACATATAACCAACACCATATAACTGAATTATAATTCATGATTGTAAATCGTATATTAAATACTCTACTAACCAACTCCATCCAGGCTACATCTGAGTCATAGTAGTCATTTGAAAGGAAAGCATCGGCCTTGCTGTGAAAAAATCTCTTCAAACTTCATAGCAAACAAAAAATTAAGTTAACATTTGTACACAGATAATATTTAGCACAACCACTGTCAAGTTTTGTAGTTGTAATTTTTTCTGACATCAGTATTTAGCACTCTCATTTCCCCTCCCATGTGGACCTCCTCCCATCACTGGAGAGGCCAACATGCAGAATTCACTATAAATTGGGAGATTGCAATTGCAAAGAATCAAACTTAATCTCTCTCACTCTAATTTAACGTTAAGAACTTATGGATGATGAGTTAATGTGTTTAAATACAGAGTTTCACTGATAAAAAAGAAAAAGAAAGAACTGTGCTTTATGAGGTACAATAACAGATACAAATGACAGATTCCTTTACATATAGAGGGCAAGTTTTTGTCCCATGATATTTCATTGTGATATACCACTGGATACCAGTCACAAAACAAGCCATACATACAGCCAAATATTAAGGGATAGCTGACATCTAGGGACATAAAAGCCATATTTCACAGTAAAATATCAAGGGATTTTTGTTGGACTCTTGTCTGCTTTACTTATACATTGTAAAGCTTGAAACCTCTGTAAATTAAACCCACACTGAACCAGTGAAAATTTCATAAACAATTATTAACCTCATAATCAGTAATGAAACAACTTAAGAAATGAAAGTCTTCAGACTCATACCTGGGGGAACTGGCCAATTCACCAGCTTTATGCAATAACTCAGCTGCTTGTGTGAGGAAAGCATTATACTCTTGGGAGAAAGGAACACTATATAGATCACGAGTGGATGTCACTGAATGACTTGTGCCTTCATCTGTACTGCCATACAAGGATGAATCCAGACTTAATTCGCTTTGTCTTTTAATAACTGTGAAAAAGCTTGTTGCAGCTTGTTTTTGGTCCTCTGTTAGGCTTTTCTTCCACAATTCAAATTCCTACACCGAAAGAAACTCTTTTGTCTTCACAAACGTAAAAAAATCTTTCCTATAATACAATGAGCTCATTCAATATACCACTTTGTCCATGTCTGGCGGATAGAAGTTTGCACCAGGAGGCTTCAGCATAGGAAACGCAGCTTTGTATTCAAGTCCCTTCCACCCAGTAACCCGTTTTGTTGCTTCAGGAAGCAACTTTATAGCCGAATCTGCAGTTGTCAAAAATGCCTCATTTTCATCAAGGGACGACCTGTTCATAGAAAACGAACTTAATATTTTTATTTTCATTGTTAAAAGGTAACAGGGATTTTACAGAGGGAGAAGCAAAGAAAAAAGGGGGTGACCAAGAAGTCCATCCATTCAAAACAAAGAAACTAAACAAGCAAGCCACATTCAGTACACAACTTTGGTTCTGCCAAGATGAATCACATCACACTAAAGGAGAAATTTCAAAATTTAGTTTTAACAAGCAAGCCACATTCAGTACAAAATTAAAGTAAAGCAACCCAATTTTTCACATAACCAGAAAATTTAACAACCCTGCAGAATTTTTCCATTGAATCAATTGTACCAAAGCCCAAAGCCGGACATTTACTCAAGTAGTAACTTCCCAAATTACACAAGCATACCCACACCAAAGACACACACAACATGGTATATATGTACGTAAAACTGGCATGTGCATACACCTGAAAGAGCACTGAGTTAAAAAATACATACCATGGACCCTTATTAATAACATAGTACATCCATTTCAACTTGTCTAACTGTGATGCATCCGCATGCTTCTTCAACCAATCCCTTAGAACTGGATTACAGCACCAAACCTAAATGTAAATTTAGAAAAATGGAGTGGAAAAAATCAGAAATGGTCAGTTCAACATTTTTTAAGGATTTAAAAAAAAAAAAAAGGAAAAGAAAAATATGCGCGTGACAAACTAGCTGCAACACATGAAAATTACAAGATATTTCATACAGCCTAGCTCATTAGTGCATTTTTACTTTCATGTGAAAATAGCAAATTATAGTGAAAAATATGATCCAACATATGAGTGTGCAGATGCACACAACTGGTGATAGTCAGATGTACCATGAAACAGCATCACACATCATGGTTTTCATGCATATCAATGATCATTATGCATCAGAGATTCAGAATAGCCTAACAGCACAAATACACAGATCGGAGCGTCTGTTTAGTTATTTAACAATGCATGTATTTCTGTGCGAGTCTATACAACCTGAAGGTAAAAGATTTGATCTATAATTGCTGCAGCCTTAGTTAGTAACACCAGGGCCTCCCTGTCTGCCTCTGTAAGACCTGTTAACTGCAACAAAGAACAAAATACGCTGAACTTAACTTCAAGGACCCAACCAACTAAAAGAAGACGGAAGGACACCAACAAATTACAAAATATGTGAAAGTGGGGGAAAGGAACTTCACAATCAAAAGTGTATAATATCCTGTATTCTGGACATGAAGTTTAAATAGAAATACGACAAAACAAATTACACCATTTGCTTAAATACCCATAAGGTTTACAAAAGGAGCTCAATGCCTTTGAAAGCCCTTGCATGCCTTTTCGGCAGTATGCACATGAAATAATACCTCTAGAATTCATATTTCACATCACCCAGACACAGTGCAACCAAAAAAGTCAAATGCAGATTTTGGCGTAAGCAAATTAATCCCAATCGCTAAAACAAAAGATGAAGCTTCTTGACAACTCAGGATGAAGCAAAAACTTATTGATCATTTTTTCTTTCCAACTTCAGACAAAAACTTAAAATCATTGCACCATGACAGAATAGTCCAAATCAAATGAAGTAGAGAAGAAAAAGGAATAAACTAAAGAAATAATTTACAAAAAGACTAACAGATGCAAGAATTGACTACAGGGAACTAACCTCGGCACTGAGGGTAACAGGAGCATAACGTTGGAGTTGCTTTTGTAGTGTTAAACTTCGACCTATAGTGTTCTCCTTGTACCTTTATTAAATTTAATATGAAATAACAGACATAAGAAAGTAGTGAATATCCGAGAAATTTGAACTTGATAGGGAGATATGGCATGTCATTCTGTTTTCACATTTACGAACATATTGATCTACTATTAGCAGCATACCTCCGTGCAATTATGTCAAAAAGCTGACCATATTGCCCATTTACGTCGTAGGGGACGAAATCAGGGTCTTCTTTAGCAAGTAAGTTTCTATAGTCCTCATAAGAAATATATTTAACAGCAGAGACTTCCGTTTCCTGTCATTAAACAGAAATGCAAAGATGTTCGGATACTCGTGAGAATTTCTATGGCTACATAGGCACATAGCAACAAATATCAAAAAATCATCATCATAGTTTACTACTTTTCACCCCTAGTCTTTGAACTATTTCTAAGAATGATCAATAATTCTTATGGCCATACTTCCTGCCTTAAAGAGAATGTAACTGACAGATCTTCTTCTCACCTGAAGAGTAAATGCTTCGAGAGGGATTGGATTCACAGTGGTTACCAAATATACATCATTGAATTCATTGTTAATGAATTTTCCATCATTTATCACACTGCATTCAAAATGTAACATATTAATATACAATGTCTTCTATCAATTTGATTTCCATATATACTTTTGTGACACTTCTACCTCCTGTCAATTCCAGAACTTGTTCTTGATTACAATAACAATGAAGATGTCTATACCGAATAAAGAAATATATATATATCCAACAACAAAATAAAGGAATTGACCTACTGACCACTCTTCAAGATAAACGAATAGCATTTCAAATGCATCCCTTGGAAGTACTATACCCAGCTCTTCTTGAAGCTCCCTCCTGAAACATACATTTTTGTGTTTTAGTGTTTTAGCGACCACCGTTCAGAAAGCTCCAAGTTTTAACCCAAAAAAAACAACTAAAAAAAACTATTCGGTTGTAAATGCACCTTTAACAATGCGAATATATTATCAAACAACAGTTCATAGATAGCAACGGGTGTAAGTACAAGCTATAAGTATGTTACAGGTAGGGGCAATGAAACTTTGTACCGAGCTGTTGTAAGTGACGAATCACCAGCATATATGTGTCCAGCACTTGAGATATCCCACCGTCCCGCCCACGAATCCTTGCAGTAGTAACGGTTTTGGATAAGCAGCTCTTGTGTACTCTCAGCAAAAATCCACACATGAACAGCTCGATGGTAATCCCCGTCTCGATGAACATCTCCCCTACATGAGCATCAATAACATTCATTATACCACAAAACATATACAGTTGAATCTAAACATTCAGAACTAGTGGGTTATCAGCACAAATTTCTTAAAAATCAGAAACACAACATTTACATACATACACATTAATAAAACAGGGGTTGGAGTTTATCTAAATTGGTCAATTGAGTTGCTCAATTTACTTGATAATTGTAATTGATTCACTTACTTTTCTTAATCCATATCATTCCCTTCCACAATATTTTCCGTTTGTTTTCCAGAAATTACAAGAAAATAATTAAATCAATTAAAAAAATACTAGCTCTGCTTGCCTGGGCTTGGAAATGCCGGTCTTCTGGCCGGTTTTGGTGAGGACGTCAAAGTAGTCTTCTTGTGTATGAACATCACCTTCTGTCACCGCCATTGCGCTAATCACAACTTTCAGTCGGTCGAATCGCCGCCGCCCCCAGAGATTATTCGGTTCTGATTTCTCACTCTACTGTCTTCCTCTGTTTCTCTGCAAAAGGTGGAGTATGCGTGCTTCCACAGCACTTAAAGAACCTCGAGTATTCTGCATGCTTCCGCAGCACTTCAAGCACCTCCAGTATTCTGCATGCTTCTACAGCACCTCAAGCACCTCCAGTATTCTGCATGCTTCCACAGCACTTCAAGCACCTCGAGTATGAAAAGACAAGAAAGATACATTTGAAAACAAAGTTAGAGTTTTAAGAAAAACTAAAATAAATTAAATCATGCAAGCCACCATCACTGTTACCATTGCCACCACAACATTCTCAACTGCCATTGCCCATGCAACCATGGCGACCACCACCTCCACCATATCTCACCACCGCCACCACCATCACATCCATCAATCCCATGGCCACCACTTTTTCACCTCCAATGTCTCACCACAACCACAAGCACCTCCGCCGCTACCACCACCACCAGGTCCACCACTAACATCACCAACTCCACCATACCATGGCCACCAGCACCACCACATTTTCACTACCATCACCCTCAAAACCATTGTTAACACAACCAACGCCTCTGCCACCATCTCCGCCATCATCAAAGAAAAACAGGTGATTGATTGTAAGAATAAGAACGTTAGCAAGGTTGAAACCAAGGCCCAAATTGCCAAGTTCAAAGCTGATGAGATGGCCAAGGGGAATGAGTTCATAAGCTCCACTCTGTCATGCAGCCCCCAACAATTATGAAAACACATCATTCAGTATCCGGATTAAAGCCGTATTCGCGTCGACACTCATTACTAATACAACTCATAGAATAAAAATCTACTGAATCAATATATGTGTATAATATATATAGCATAGCAAGCACAAACATAACTTTCCCCGTGTCTTCCCCTTCTTAAACTCACATACGGACAGATAGATACTCTACCAACCATAGTAGAGCAGAAAATCTCATCATCGAGAGACAAGCACATATGGGGATATTCTAATTCAATAAGGATTTATACAGTGTAATATATCACGAAATGAAAACTGAAAACTAAAGCACCTAGCTACTTTTCAACGATTCTTCATTTTCTTCCTCCTTCGTGGAATGTGCATCAACTCGCTCGATCGAGTAAAATTAGGCTCTCCGTGTAATATTCAATACATGAATAACCTGGATCTGTATGAATTCCTAGAAATTCATTTCTGTTGTTCTTAGGATCATGAGAGACCAACTTTCCAGTCTTCCCTCCACGGTCATACATTTCTAACAGAAACTCGCCATTCTTCCTGCACCCCATAATCTGTATAACTAGGAAATTCGGGGTGACATTTCTATCAATAGAGAATTTCTTTGTCCATGAATCCACCACCCCATACTCTCTCATAATCCAAATATTATGTGTATTTTCCTCATAGTGCTTCACAGCAATAGACTTTCCAGCAGCTGAAATATTGTGAAACTGATGTGGTAAAACTTCTGGCAACTGAATCTCTTTAAAAGTCTCACCACTCACATCAAATGACAAAATCACTTTGCGGAGTCCATTTTCTTTTCGATGAGACGCAATCCAATGCACGGCTCCCTTGACAAAAACTTGAGACCAAAATGTCTGAGCGATGACATAATTAGGAGCAGTTGCTGTAATGGTTTTCCAAGACCCTGAATTTAGTGAATAAAGCGAAACTTCAGGGCAAGCTTGGCCTTTATCATCTTGGCGGAGATACACCAGTCTCACTACCTTGTAATCATTTTTCTTCGAATCAAAGCCGAACCCATAAACAGAATAATATGGGGAGGTTGGTTCATGAGGCTTTGGAAGTGAGACGAACTTTCTTATTGAGGGGTTCCATAGAATCAAAGTGTTGGTTTCTGCATGGTAATCGTCGGACAGGAGAAGTAATCCGTTGCACGAGCCCACAATCCGGAAACACTCGATGAAGCTCTGAACCGAAAGCTGTGGCTTTGAGTGTTCTAGGAAGGAGTCATTGTCAAAGTGTAGAGAATAGCGCTCAACTGTGGGATCCTTGGGGCAGTGCCTGAGAAGGATGGAAGGGGTGTTATTGCTGGTTTTGTTTTGGTTAAGGTTGAGGTGTGCGTTGATGAAGCTAGTGTGTTTAATGATGGAGTTCCAAGATCTGCAGACGGAGGTGAACTGAATCAAAGGTTTGACGGGAAGCCTAAGAAGAATTTGGACTATAATTTCTTCGGGAAGGTATTCTGACATCGTTGTTCGATTTCCTCGGGATAATTGTGCTTCATAGTCCACGATGCCTAAACTCCCAGACCTTAAATAATTGTTCAGCAGCTCCTCGGTCAAAGATATTTGGTCAGGGCATCATTTTCTTGCCAGTTAACAGAAAGCCTCTTCAAACTTGGCTGCTGATATTGATGTTTAAAGTCAGTCTACCCTCTAAAGTCATGTTAATCGGAAATTTCCTTGCAACGATAGATTTCTCAATGTGATCGGCACTAGGGGTGGGCACAGGCCCAAAATTTCAGGAACCGGACTAGATCCGTTCATAAATACAACGGGGCGGGGTGGGACGGGTTTTGGATTTTTCAAAACAGGATCCGGACCTAACCCGCCCTTTTGAAACGTGTCGATTCTTACGGGTCCCCACAGGTCCAAATCTTTCACTCACGCCTCAAGTCTGGTGGTCTTTCCTCTTTGTTCTCCTCATTCGAAGATTCGCTTCTTCGAACAACGTCGTTATCGGCGGTTCCATCAAAACAACCACCGCAAGATATGCACTCTCAAGGCAAATTAGGGATTAAATTAGGGTTTTCACAAAACTCTTTCATACAAACCCACGAATCCAATTTGCCTTCTCATCATAAAAGAAAGGGAATACCTTAGGGTTTCTCAATCTAAGCAATTTCAATCAATTCCCTTGTGATTTCCACTTCCTACTCATCGACCAAAAGGTTCTGCAAATAGGGAAAAAAAGAAGAAGCATTGATCTATAATTTCAAGTCCTAGATAAAACATAAAATTTCAAGTTCACAAAACCTAAATAATTTCACCTTGTGATTGGGTTGCAGATGCTCTCCAATTCCGTCTTGTCTTCGAACTCATTGGCATCCGATAACTGGTTGTTGTCCAACCACTGGGTGGCAGTCTCTCGATTGAGTCCTCAATCTTCTTGTCCTTAATGGAGTTTGGGGATCGTGGGTCTCTTGGGATGGAGAAAAAGAGGGTCTGAGTGGGGGAAAAAAAAAGTGAAATGAGTAAAAAAATAAAACAAAAATAAAGAAAGAAAGAGTGAAAAAAAAAAGAGGGGTGAAATGAGTGAAAGAAATAAGTGAAATGTTGTACAAGTACTAGTGTACAGCACAAAACCAACGCAATACTTGGACTTTTAGACCAGAAAATTGAGTGGGCTTGGGAGAAACGGGTCCGGCCGGGGCCTTGTTTCTTGGGCCTTTTGGACCCGCCTCGCCCCATTAATTTCTTGAACCCGCCCCAACCCGTCCCGTTTGTGTTTTACAATTTTAAGACCCGCCCTGTACCCGCCCCGAAACCCATGTACTTGACTTGCCCTGCATGTCTAGTACCCATTTGCCCACCCCTAATCGGCACACGAGGTGGTACATCATATATCATTATACAAATAGTGAGATATATGTGTTACAAAGTTAATAACTTAAAAAGTAAAATTTCCTACCAGTTACATCAAAACACGTGATGTATCATCCGTGTTCTCGTCATAATAAAAAATTTCTCCCTTGCATTGACCAACAGAAGACGACATGTTTATTAACTAATTTTTTTAATAAAAAATAATAATTTGGGGAGGTGGGAGTTTCGAATGGCATGCATGCGTAAAAACCCAACAACTTGTCCATTAAGATATTGGACCACGCGCGTTTATTAACTAAAATTCAAACTTACAAATATTCCATCATGTCATTGGACGTTAGTTTGGTATTGTTGTGCTTTAAAAATAAAAATAAAAATTATTTTTGTTGTGCTGTGAGAATAAATAGTTGTAAAATAAAGTTGTTAAGTGTTTGATAAATTTTTTGTAAAAGTGATTTTGACAAAAAAAAAAAAAAAAAAAAAAAGGGTAAAATACAAAAAACTACCTCAACTATTAGTCTCATGACACTTTCATACCTTATCTTTTTAAAATGACAATGTAATACATTATCTTATGAATTTGTGCCAATGTCATACCTCCATCAGTTTTTCTATTAATTTCTCAGTTAAATATTGACGTGGCTTGATTCGGGACCCACTTTCTATTAAAAAATTAATAAAATATTATTAAAAACTAAACAAAAATCATTTAATATTTTTTAAATATTAAAATAATAAAGAAAAGTTTTTTTTAAAAAAAAAAACCAAAAAAACTTCCTCTCTGTGCGCCCTCTCTCTTCTCCCCCATCTTCATGTCCCTTCCTCTTCTTCCTACCTGCTGCAACCCAGAAAAAAGGAAAAACAAAACAAAACAAAACAAAACATTGTCCCTCCCCCCCCGGGGGCTCCCTCTCTCTTGTCCCTCACCTTCATCTTTTTTCCTCTTCTTCCCCCTATATGCTGCAACCCAGAAAAAAGAAAAATAATAATAACAAAACAAAACTTCCCCCCCTTCCATGCGCCCTCTCTCTTCTTCCTACCTGCTGCAACCCAAGAAAAAGAAAGAAAAAAAAATACACAAAACTTTGTCACTTCCCACCCCCCCTGCGCCCTCTCTCTTCTCCCCCATCTTCATCTTCTTTCCTCTTCTTCCCCCTATCTGTTGCAACCCAGAAAAAAGAAAAGAAAAAAAAAAAAAAAAAAAAAAAAACCAATTGTCTTCCCCTGCAACCACCCTCCACACCCAACCTCGTACCCACCCTCTTCCCTTCTCTACACACCTCACTCCTTAAATCCACACCCATTCCCCCCATTTTCTCCACGCCTAGGTTCTCCACCCGCTGAATCGAGCTGGCAAACGGGGTCTAAGTTTATTTCTTCTTCTTCTTCTTCTTCTTCTTCTTCCTCCTCCTTCTTTTTCTTTCTGGGTTGTAGGGGGTTGGGTTGGATTTTTTTTTTTTTGGGGGGGGGGGGGGGGGGGTGGGGGAACGAACTAGGTTGGGGTTCTTCTTCTTCTTCTTTTTCTTCTTCCTCCTTCTCCTTCTTTTTCTAAGATGAATGTAACAACCCGTCCCGGAATTTACGTAAGAAAATGGGTATTTTTGTATTTTCACTAAGTTTGGGGATACCTTTCTTTTTAAAATTGTTTTTGAGCCTTAATCGGTGAGCCCAGGGGACCCACCCCCTGTTTTGTTCCCGGTTCCCGGTTCCCTTTCCCT